CCGTCTCTAGCCCTCTAGAAGCTAGGATTTCTTCAAGTTTGTCTTGGCTTGCAATAGTTCAAGCGACGGGGTATCCACTGCAACTCGCAACCAGTGCGACACCGGCGGGTGACTCGAGCGCCGCAGGAGCTTTCGTCGCGCGCACGCCACCCTCGTAAGAAAACATGGAGGGCCTCGCGACCGCCTCCGCCAAGCAGCTCCCGGCGGACAGCCCCGCGGTCCCTCTGCTTCGCGTCGTGACGGGGAACTTGGTGCGTTTCGGCGTGGAAGTACCGTAAACTTGAAACTACACCCGAAGGCGCCCCGTGCGCCGCCCGGGCGGGGGGCGCCACCGCTGGCTCGCCTGGGTGAAAAGGTGCCCGCACGAGAGACGCGCGAGGCGGTTTGGTTTTTTTTAGCGTCGACGCCCACCGATCCGCGCGCAGGCAACGAGTCCCGATAACGAGAAATTTCGTCGCATCAAGTTGTCGGGCAAGGCGGGCCAGAAGCTCACGGCCGAGCCCGCGGCGATGACGGTCCTGACGATGATGGGCTTCCGCAAGCAGACCGAGGACGGCGAGGACTTCTTCGTCGTAGATAAGCTGATGCCGTCGTGCGTTTCCGCCGTCGCCGCGGCGCTCGCGCCCGCGGCCCCGGCGCCCCCGCGCCCCGCGCCCGCGGCGCTCAACGCCGACGGCACGCCCAAGGCGTCGTCGTGCTGCGCGCCCCGGGAGGAGAAGCTGTCGACGAAGCAGGAAGCGAGGCGCCTCGTCGAGGAGCAGGAGAAGAAACAGCGCGAGCCTGTGTGGAAAAAGAGAGGTTTGAAGTTTGGCTGGAATAACCCATCTTCGGCACAGGCGCCAGGCGGCGAAGCGCCACCGCGAGGAGACGAAGGCGCAGATCAAGCAGGACAACCACGTGCGCAAGCACGACGAGAACTGGACGACGAAGGAGGGCGTGACCAAGGGCGGCAAGGACATCAACACCTTCCGCGGCAAGTACGGCGAGGACCAGGGCGGCGGCTGAGGGTGCTAGGCGCCCGCCCCGGCCGCGGCGCGACGCGTCCACACCTCCATGACGGCCGCGGCCGCCGCTCTTCGGGAAAGAGCGGCGGCCGCAGCCCGACTCGGACGCGCGCGCCGGCCCTCGTGCACATGCTCCCCCCGTCTCTCGAGGCGCCGGACCGGCCTGCACCACGCGCGGCCCCACACTCGCCGCGCGCGGTCTCCCGTCCGCCGCTCCCCCATCTCCGCAAGCTCGCTAACACATACGCATTTTCTCGATGACCGGCGCCGCCTAGTTTCCTATCGCCGGGATCGCGTCCGAGCGCGCGGGATCGCTCCGGATCGCGCAATATCGTTGGAGATCGTTCCGGATCGAGCCGGATCGCGCCGGGATCCCGGTGGGCGCCGGCTCGCGCTGAAAATGAGCCTACTAGGTATTCCTAGCTCGAAGGCGGCGCAGCATCCTCCCCTCCCCGGACGGACGCAGTCGATCAGTCGCGATCGGGCGCTGCGCGTCCCCTTCAATAAGGCTTCAACAAACTGGTCAACATCGCCTCGCCACTCAGCTCATCAGCGCTCGGGCGAGCTGCGGCCACACCTCCTCTGGCAGCGGCGGCGGCGACCAGACCGGCGCGCGCAAAACCCCTCTTGAGGGGAGACGCAGCACTGCACGCACCTGCAACGC